AACAAGCAATCTAAATCTCCATATGCCAAGAGGCAAACAAGCAGCGAGTGCGACACTTAAAACTAATAAATATTTTTAAAATCTATACCAATAAAATAAAATGTAATAAAAACTGGAAGCTGCTTATGGAATCTGAACTTGCCAAGTTCAGTTCATAGTTTGTTGATGATTTTGCCAATTAATGTAAGTATGTTTCGATTTTGAGATTTATTGTAATTTCTTTCTAATTTTTGCTTTTGAGTTAGTTTTTTTTATATATATACATTTCAATGTTTCATGTATTGAATCATAGAAATAACTTTTCCAGATCTGTTGAATTATTTTTTATTTGAATGTTTTGGACATGATTTGGAGAGTGAGCATTTGTTTTTGTTAAACAAGAACTATGAGAGTGGAACATGTATGGACAATCCTAATGTTTTGGACATGATTATTAGAATGTATTTCAATTAGAGTACTTGGTATAACAAGATCAACACAATCCTACGTGGTACAGTAACTGTCCACATTCTTACATCTTGTTTTACCATCTTACTTCAACAAAATAGATTATCAGAAAGAGGGGAACACGTATGGATGAAAACTTTTTTATCAAACAAGAACATATATGGAGATGAAATAAGTAGGAACATAAGGGTTAGAGCTTAGATGTTGGGGGAGAACACATAAGAACAAAATTAGTTTGAAGCTTCACTCCACCTTTTACTTCTTCTTTTCTTTGTGTGTGTGTGTGCAGGCAATCAACTTCTATCTATTAAGTCAAACTCAATTTCGTTTATTGTTCCAGACAAGTACTATAGACCGTTGGAAAGGTAAAATTAGATCATTCCATTTTCGTGTTCAGGATTGAAGCTGTGTCTTTGGAGTAAAATAATTGAGAACAGATGACTAATATCATTTACAACCTTTTAAAAATATAGGTGAATAGGAAAACCAAAATAGAACACTAATTAGCCTAACCTTCAAAATTAAATGAGTAACACTTATCCTTATATAAAGGATTAGTCACTGTTGCCCAACCCCATGAAGATAAGTTACCGTAACCATGATTTACAGATATTTGGAACCAGGGCCGCCCTGTCACACAGTTGCGAAATAGGGTTTCACGCGAGGGGGGAAGAATAAATGAATTTTAGCTGCCTTATGAAGAAGACTACAGAATGAAGGACTGTGGCAATCTCTTCCTTTGCCTACTGTCAGAAATAGCATTCTCATCTGGAAAGCTCGGTCCCATGATTGATCCATCTCATTAAAACTTGTTTGCTCTCAGATATCCGTGTTCGAAACCGAAAATGATCTTCATTCTTCATCCTTAATTCTTATATTGCGCGTTTCACACTTCCAGTTTTTTTTCATTCTCAAATAAGATGCTGAAACCTCACCTTGTTGGTGCTTGTGAGGGGACTCCACTCTACTCATGGTACTTGGTGAGAAAGAGCTAATTTTAATTAAACTCCATCGCTACCAAGAATACTATTGATTGTGTAAGCTCTCTTGAGTTCCTAGCTAAATTTCTCGTCTGCTTTCTTAACTTTCTTGCATACAACGACAGCCTAATATTATGTGTCAAAGGCTTGCTTGTATATATACCTGGCCAATCAACCTTCGGAATTGTCAGTCCTGGCGCAGTATTCTGGGAGAAATTAGGTTTTGTTTTTCCACCAAGGGAAATCGTTTGTTTGGAGGCCGGTGTCATCATGAGTGTAATAGTTCACCATAACAATGTTTATTTGGAAATGTATGGAATTTGTGAATTTGGTTCCACAACCGATGTGTCGCTATGATGATATATTCATCATTTTTTTTTTTTTTGGTACAATGATGATATATTCATTTAACCAATATTGCTGCATTTCGCTTACTTTAGTGTGGAGAGATAATTACTTTTAGTTGTCATTATTGTTGTTTGATTTTTAGCATTTTGGTGTATTTTCTTTCTGACAATTCATCAAAGAATTCTTAGATTAATGATAGAAAAATTCAATTCAAGTTGGCTCTATTTGCCCCTTCAATGTGCTGACGAATTGTGTCATAACAAATTGATGGACCTGAACTATAACTATTTTCGATATGACAAAAGGAATTCAAAACTCTAGAAGAAAAAGAAAAAATGAATCATTGTAGAAGGAACAATACAGCTCTATGCCATTGTACTATTTGACATACAAATTTGCTATTAATTTGCATCAATTAAACTTTAAAGCAGAGAATTAAAGTATTTTGAGATAACTCAACAAGCGTGAACATCCCCCTAAAAACCAACTTCCTTATTTTACATTAATATCTAAATTCATGATTTTCCGACTAAAATAATATTCTTTCTGTCCCAAAATAATTATCCAGTTAGTATTTTTTTCTTTTGTGGTTCAAATATGTTGGAACAGAAAAAGTAATAAAAAAAAACTAATTCTAGAGTTGCCAAAGTCGAAACTTGACCGCTTGTCGGTCATCCTTTTAGCTGTATTCTTGTTTTTCCGTTATTGCCGTTTCTGTTTCTCCCTGGTTAACAGTCATGTCTAAAGGCTAATGCCCTTCGTTGGAGCCCGCAATTCTACTAAATTATGCTCCAAAAAAAAAAAAACCTAGTAAAGTTACTCGATCGTAATCTTGGAAGACTAAAATAAAGTTTGGGGTAATAATAAAAATAAAAAATAAAAAAATATGCACCCAACAGTAGTCATAATGCTTCTCTTGTCAAACTGTTTACCATGAAAATTATTCTCCCTGCACATACCGTACATAATAGTAAATATTGGGTCAAAATTTCATAACAATTGTTAAAATTTACAGGACCGAAATTGACACTAGAGACTACGATTTCCACTTGGTCATCGGTCTTTTACAATACTAACTAAAAATTAGATGCGATCTAAAATTTATTAAATATTAAACAATAGAATTTCATAATACTTATTAATGCCTTTATTTATTGGTACTAATACAAAATCGTAAAACGTTAATTTTAATTAAAAATGGTTTCTTTCGACTTTTGTTGTCCTCTTAGCGAAACCAGTGTGAATGTCAACTAAGACCAAAATACATAATTTTATATCATTTCCACAATTAACAATTTTCTTAGGCTGTGTACGTGTGATATAGACATCTTTGTTTTGGGGTCTAAATTATATTCCATATGTACAAAAATGGTTCTCTTATTTAAATCTTCGCTTTTATTAAAACTTGTATAACTAATGATAATCCAAATTTGATAATCATCTCGTGATAAAGGGAATATGATTTTATCAAAGTTCGATGTGTATGTATATAAAATAAATTAGGTTTCTGTCATTTTTGGTAGTCATTTGCCTAATTTTTTTTTTCTCTCTTCACTCTCTCCCTATCTCCAAACCTTCCACTCTTCTCTCTCGACCTCCACCGCTCCCTACAGTAAATCCTTATATCATTGTTTGGTGATCTTGGGTACTAATATTATTATTATTATTATTATTCCGTCGTGGGGGGTTTCTAATGTTGGAAAAGATGCCGGAACCACGCCGTATTCATCACGTCTTTGGTGGTACGGGTCGTGATAAAGAAGAGCTGAATAGAAGTCGTCGTGATTCCAACATGACTTGGAACCACACAGGATGTTTGAGATTGACGCGCAGGTAATAATTAGCTCCCTAGAATTCCTAGCTAAAGTTATAGGCGGTAAGTGTTCGGATCGCCCGCTTGACCTCGCTTCCGGTGACAATTCTCATATGTAGCGATCTCATTCCTCTTGAAGCTCGCCGGAGTCCAGCTTTATCTTTGGGCTTTCGCGGTTCCTTTTCTTCGGCCTCTACCAGCTTAGACTTTTCATGAATTTTGGATCAATTCTGCTACAAGACTTTTTCTCAATTGTAGCAAGACTGCAAGGACCATTTCATTTTTGCATTATTATAAAAAAAAAATGTTAAGCAAGCTTACAACTGTTAAGAATAGGGTTTTTCTTTTTTTCTCTCTCTCTCTCTCTCTCGCTTTCCAAATCAAATAATTAACGTCAAACCACATATTGTATCTGCATTTTTTGTTAGCCGAGACAATTCATTGAAGAAAAAAAAATTAGAAACATATACTGCCTGTGTCTCAGAAAGCTTTTCTGGTTAGAGGAAGTATTATTTAGGACTCCTGAATTTATTTTTCGTCTCCAAATGTAGGACAACAATCTCCAGCAAGTTCTGAAACGCCTAGCTATGATTAGACATATTAACTCTGATCGAACTCGGTTCCTAATTTTAGGGTGTCTTCGCCCATGGGCCAATAAAAACATGTACTACTATCTTTGTCCCAAAAAAGGAAATATTCTAGATTAAGTGTTAGAATTTATATTAAAAATAGTAAAAACTTAAAACTTATTGTGGATTATTTTTTTGGGACAATAGGAATATAAAATTTAAAACTACCTTTAAAAATTACTTTGTTTGCTCGAGAAGATAAATATTCATTTTGTTTTCTCTCCGCCTATTATTTTGCGTGACTTGATTACAAGAAATTAGTATCCTAATGAATTTGATGTCCTTGATGATAGTTTTCGTTTGCATGTATTATTATCAATAAAAAAAAATACTGCTATTAATCTTTAAATCGGATATAATAAGAGTAACCATTTCATCAAGCATAGCTTTTTGTATTTTCGATGAGTTTTCAATTCTAGGATTCTGCTTTTCCCTCACAGTTATTTACCATCATTTGTAATCAATTACGTTTACCTTCAGAACAGAACATTGGTGATCTTGTTCTGATAGTCAGCCAGAGCAATAGCCGTGGCGACATTCTATTGAAGGCTTTCAAAGGGTAGCAAGTTCATGTTCTAACTACCGTAGTTACATTTTACTATGATACAAATGCATTTCATGTTGAGTGGAAAATAAAATTCACGTTTCCCTTTATTCGCTTTTATCAAAAAGGCATCATAAGGAAGCTACGACCACCCGACATTGGTCAAATCGATACCAAGCCACAAATCGGAAGAGATTTTTGCTGAGCAGAACTGAATTTGATAAACACGAGAACTGAATCGGTTTGCAAAAGTAGCAAGTATCTGACGGAATGGAAGTAAGCATTAAAAGGATGGGAAATGCAAAAGCAAAGTTGCAAAGTTCTTGAAGGGTCAAGTTGGATATTGCTACATGCATGTCCCATATCGGGTCAAAGATTGAACTACATGATCCCTCTCATCTCTCAAGTCTCAACATGAACACCACAACAACTGCAGATTTACATATTTGATGACAAAAAGGCTATTACATTTTACAACAGAACAGCCACTTCCCAAAACTAGCCCATATGGTTACGACAAAACCTAGAGATTTCTCATTAAATGTCATAGAAGTTCTCTTCCCAGCTCTAACTTTACTGGTTTGCGCCTCTTAACCGTGCAATCAATTCATCCTGTCCCAGTCACAAATGGAGCATTCATGTAAGAGAGAGATCTCATAGATCTTTGGTTGTTCTAAGTTGCACATGGCTAGTACTTTTACAGTGCCCAAAACAATATCAAACGAGATGCTCTAAAACAGAAACACAAAGCTCGGGAACCTGTCCTTCTATGTTTGTGCCAATAAGAAACCAATATGGCAATATTCTCAAAGGCTGAATGTGGATTCACACAATGAAATATCCACAAAAGGCACCAATACTTTCTAGTTATGCCCTGCTAGTGATCATAAGTTGTATCGTTATACTAATAGTTTTGTTAAATTCCACCTTTCTAGTGATTGTAATGGTGTCAGCATTCAAGATTACTACTTGCTACTCCTGAAAATGAAATCCAGTTTGTCTTTCCAACATAGGATAACATTATTCCCATAACACAGACCAGGGCCAATCTATAAGCTAGCCCCAATCCCTGTCCTACCAACCCTTTCTGTATTTCCTATCATTTTAAAATGCATAGTTTGTAAATGAAGTTTCATGGCAAGATTTATCATTCAAGTGCTTATCTAATAACCCATGATACGATAACTAGAATCCATAACAACCATCCGAGACGCGAAAAATCAAAGCAAAATCAATGTCATTGCGATAATGAGTAAGATGGTTCTTGCCTTTCTTCCTCTCAAGGAAAGACCTTTCTCCTTTAAAAGTGCACGAATTCTCTCTACTGTTAAACTCTGCAGATCTTTCTCAGGCAATCGCGATTTTGATCCTTCTGCACATTCCAGAAACAAAAATACCAATTAATGACGTATATATTAACGATAAACCATTAGAACAAACTGGAGAAGCTGTCCAGTGGTAGAACCCAAAGCATCCAAGAAAAACGGCCTCAGGTGGATAAAATTTGTGCATGGAAACAACTACCGAAGCATTCAACTGTTTCACAGACAAGAAATGCAGATTTCACCACTTTTCTTGAAGCAGAAGAAAACAATTTAAAAACTCAACAATAGTGAATATTTTCACCCGACCGCTCCAATTACTCCAAACAAAAATGGTCCCACATAAATACGAACAAAGTTCTTTCAAAAAAGAATCATCTAATCCAAGATGGAAGGAAACTTAAATTCGGACTTGCCTTGCCGAGTCAAAACTTGACTGCTTGTCGTTCCCCTTTTAGCCCTACTCTCCAATGCCCTATCAGCAGCCCTGAAATTAGAGGTTTCATCGTTAGTGACAAATTGTGTAGCTTCAACTGCCATAACTGAAACAAGCAGATACTGTGCTATCAAGAGGAGTAAAAAAGATGGTTGTAGTTCGAACAATCATTTAGCAAGAAACAAAGTACCTTTTTTTGGAACTGGAACATTCATTAGCTGCATGAGCTTTTCCATCTTTTGAACTAGAATCGCTCTTCTGTTTCTTCAGCATTAGAGACCTAATTAATATATTTGTTTGGTTTGTCTTGATAAGCTGCTCCTCTGGATACAAAGTAGCAACAGAATCAGACTATTCGGTCTTCCAACTATAGTCCAAATATTTAACAAAGAGAAACAAACGAAATCTTTTTTCCCAGCCTAGGGGTTGGTCGAGTGAAAATCATAAAAACATGGTGAAAAGAAAAACCTTGACCAGGTTGACATGGGATTTTACATTAGTTGTAGATAGATACAAGTCTTCAATGTTTAAGAATAGTCCTTCAGTTGGATGTCCTTAGGTGTTATGTTATAGAACTCACATTTCAGGTGGTTAATAGTTTTTACTTTCCAAGTATAGAAGGTTCTGGCAAAGGAATCCTTGGTGCAGGGTAAGAACTCTTGTATGCTACCTACGGTAACAAGTTCAAATAGCAGAAACAAGCCTCTATGTTAGGACTTTAAAGTTCCAATCCAATCCTTGATGGAAGGATCACAAATGGAACTTCTGTGAACTAGGCTTCTCATTTTATAGTTATGAACCGAATTGATTTTCTAACCATTCTTTTTCGAGCCTACCATTATACTTTGTCATCACATGATCTATGTTGCAATGACTCATAAGAGCTGCTAACCACACAATAACAAGGTTGGATTGATGAGATATAACTGATGAAAGGACAACTAAAAAGAAGTTCAGACAAAGAACATGGAAACTTCACAGAAGCTCAAGCAGGGATGTGAAAAGTGACTGCGTGTACCAATGAAGCAACCAGAAAGCGGTGAAAGTTCCCATTTTCAAAGGTGCACTAGACCCACAAGCATAACACAGTGCGACAACCAAAGGGAGGAATTGCCCCATAAGGTTTACATTGCATCTAGAGCTACTTAAGGAGGAAGAAGAAATCTTCAGCATATATCTTTTCTGACAATATCCTAATTTTCATTGCTACATAATTGGGCTTCGAGTCACTAATGTATATCATTGCTTTATGGGACCTGATCCTACAATAAATTAACATCCTTCTCCCATCAATCATTTTAATGTCCCAATCTACGTCAAATTCAATTCTCAAGGTAATTTAAGCACAATCATCATTAAACTATAGCATGGTAACGAATTCCTAGGTTTGGAATTGGCCAAACAAGTTTGATCATTTAAAGGCTCGCATCAATACACCTTGATGTGTTGGTTAATCTTGGGTTTGGGATTCTGAAAGAAGAAGGCACACAACCTAAAGAATTACAAAGCTGATAACAAGTCAAAAAAATATTTCGCTAAGTAAAACAATATAAAATTAGAACTTGGCACAAAGCAGAGAAACAAAAAAATAAACCTATTCTACTGCTTCTTAGACTCTACTGATTCAGCACTTCCTTACAAAAGAAAGCAATTAAATTCCTACGCCGAGCCTCCAATTCAGACCCAAAATAACTAAAGACAATTTAATGAATGACGAATTCTAAAGATTTACAGAAAATTAATATGTATCTTCTGCCAAAAGTCATAGGGAGATCATATGCTAATTAACATTTCTCACTGCAACTCACAGAGTAGACATGTTGAAGAATTTTCTCCCGAGATATGTATGATAAGAAAATTATAGCATCCTAAACCCGGAGAAATTTATATTCCAGCACCAACAGCTGATATGCAAGTAGAAATAGGAAAAAGTGGATTGACAAGAGATAAATTCAACAGATCCTTGTTCAAATCAGGTAACTATGTCATGAATCATGCCCACCACACCACAATATACCAATTTCAGACAACAATTAAGTCCAACAAATAGGTCGAACCAACTTATTCACATGAGATGTTTCAGAAACTATATAATTTTCCCAAAACAAAATCGTTGCAAATTAAGACAGCCAAGTTAAGCACAATGTAGCAGCATAAGAATTCAAAAACAGGATAGATAAAAATCCCAAGATGCAATGATCACGGACCTGGTGGTGATGTGTCGTGATCGCAAACGTACACTCGCATTCCACCCTGCATAAAGCACTCCAGAAGTGAGATCAATTTACAAGAACAAAACAGAATTACAATAAGATGCACGAATTTCATCACTCAAATTCACTGGACATCAAGTATGAAACTCAAACTACAACAATAATTTTAAATCCGCCATTTTGAGGCACAGAAATCAAACAATAACAGTATTTCGAAGATTTCATCAGCAACACATCGTAATGCACAGTTTTCTTGGCAAACCTAAAGGTGAGAAGAAAAAAAAAACCGTTTCCCTACGATTCTCTAATCGAAAATCGCTCATAAGCTCAATCAAAAGATGCTGATTAACATCATCAAGTTGATAATTTAATACATTTTCGAAAAAAATCATCCTATTGAAACTAACAGCAGCAAATGGAATTGAAATTTGAAGCGACTAAGTGAGAGAACAGTACCGGATTAGAGGAAATAACAGTGGAGGAGAAGAGGCCGCGAGAAGGGAGATTGGACAGGAATCGGGCTGCTCCGGCGGCGGTCGGCTTTGAATCGGACGGTTGAGACGATGACCTCTCCATCATTGGGAACCCTAACTGCGGAGGAGAAAGAGGAAATTTGGAAAAGAATCTATAAATATTAAACCCTAAGAAAAGGCAGAGAGAAACGAAACGAAGGAGAGAAAAGGGCGAAGGAAGGCGGGGAACCCACTGTTCGGTTTTTACTTTATTGCAAGACGGTTTTACCCCTTCCTTTTGATTTGCCGCGTCACGAATGTTGACTCTGGTTGACTGTGTCTGACTTGGTAGTGGAATTCCTATCAAATCTACGAACTACCAAGGGAATGAAAGAAGGCAAAATTAATGCTTGATGAAGGTTTGTTTCAAAAAATAAAAAAATAAAATAAAAATGCTTGAAGGTGTGATTTTGCAGGGCGTTATGATAAAAAAAATAATAATAATAATTGTTTCTTTCGTTTTGAATTCATACATATATACGAAGATTATACTCCTCCGTCCCATAATTATTGTCCAGTTTTACTAAAATAAAAGATTTTATTTTTTATCAAACTTAACTATATTTTACCTTGAACAACCGGATATACCCCTACATAAGTGATTGTTTAACCACTAAGATTTTATGGATAATGTTTTTTACTAAGGACAAATGTGTAACTTGATTCATAAAAAGTCAAATTGGACAATAATTTTGGGACAAAATTTTTTGGGTAAAGTGGATAATAATTATGGGACGGAGAGAGTACTTGATTAATTTTACCAAAAAAAATGTAGCATCATTGTTTCTCATATAATATGATTAGGATTCACTCCATCGATTGTAGCTGTAGATGACACAACAGTTCTTCATAATTCGTATTCACTAGTGAAAGTAAGAAACAAATCAACAAAAAATAAAAATAAAAAATGTTTGAAGAAACTCACTACTATAAATTGGAAATTTATACATGAGTACAAAACGTTAAAGAAACTCTGCCATGTCTGTTCATGCTTTCAACCACCTCTCTAGGTACTTTAACTAGATGAAACCTATCTAAATCTCTGGCTACATCCCAAATATCCTGCAATAGATCAGCTGAATAGACATGTATTATCATTGTATGATAATATATTTTTACGGAATTTTAGCAATCCGTCTAAAGTAACCGTCTCCTCTTTACTTCCTGTGAGCCTCTCAAATTAGCCAATGCTTCTCAAACACAAATAGAAATAAACAAAAAGTTTCTAACAAGAGAATCAATCACTTAAAAGGCCATATTTTGAAGGAGATCCAGCAACTAACTAGTTGTAAGACATTTATTCAAAACCAATATATATATATATATATATATATATGAAGACCCGATAATCTTAGCATCCAGGGATATTATACAATTCTGATAGCAGAAATGATTAAATCAGATTTCAGAATCCTTCGATCTTGGAGGAAAATATAAACACGAATCAAATTTTGAAACTCATGCACACTATTTTATTTCAGAATTACTATAAGTTTACAATAAAGCCTTTTTGAGATTTCAATAAACCTCACGCAAGTGTTTCAACTTGCTGACAAATTTATTCTTACAGTCTCTTTCTCGTTTCTCATTCCAATAGTTTGCTATTCCAATACAACTATTAGAAATGGGACGGAATAAAGTATTATTCCAACTTTCTTTATTTTGAGTTCTAATGACAACATAGTATAGAGGCTTCAAGATTCCTTGACCTTCACTCTTTCAAAGCGCAAACCGATACTCCAGCAGGAAAATGATAACATCTGTAATCATCCCCCATGCAGCTGCAGTCCTGATCAGTATCACAGTTATAACAACAGGGAACCCCAAACAGACATGGTTTCCTTATTGGAATATTAGAAGAAGTGATCTCTTTCATTTCTCTTCCATCCATCATCCTCAGTTTTGGTAAACCTACAGCCAAAAAGCGAAAGAAAAAAAAAACCCGAAAACAATATATATATATATATATGTATTTAGGGAAATTAATAATTGAAAGAATTGAGAGGGACTAAGGGAGAGACTAACAAATTGCGAGGATGAAGAGTAACAAGAGTATGGATTTGAGTGATGAACCAACAGCTTGCTTCATTCTCTCTCTCGACACAGATTAAGCCAAAGGTAGATCTAGAAATGATTTTGTTTCCCCATCCCCCAAATGATTGAATTTATAGCAGTACTAGCCATATACTCTCCTCGTGAAATAATGAACTAAAACAATGCCACAAATATTATTTTTTATGTTATAACGGGGCAAGCTAATAAAATGCACCAAATAATAATGAGTGAAATTATCTTAATACTAATTAATCATGGTTATTTGAAAATGCAACCGGTGACAATTATTAACATTACAGCTCTTTCAAATGCTCCCTTTGTCAAAACAAAAGGCCAATTTTGAATTTTGAGATTTGTACTAATTTTAGTATATATTTGAAAACTCAATATATCAGTATAAATTTAAAAACTTAATGTGGACTATTGTTTTGAAATAGAGGTAATATAATATATATTACAGCCGGCTTGAAATTTAAGTTAATATATCCACCTCAACGAATGTTGCTTGGGGTCCAAAATAAACCATGTTAACCAAAACCCGAACAAATATGTTAAACAACCAACTCCAATTCTTGTACCATTTTGGTTTCTATTGGTTAAAACCGTCTAAATCAACACTAACTCTTAATTGATAATCAGTGGAGTAGTCCAAATACCTTACATACCAGCTAGTCATAATTGTTCTTGTCTTTGTTTCTTTGGCTCTATAGAGTTAAGAAGCTTGTGTCAAAACCTAGAATATCCTAATCTTTAGTTAGTTGATTAATTATAATACTCCCTCCGCTTCTCAATATAAAATATTTTGATTTGTCCTAAATTTCACTTAGTATATATTTTAAATTCATTAAAAAAAACTTTAAAAAGTATTTCCTAACTATGAAGAGAACACAACGAATGTAAAAATATATTTTTTAAATTTTTTTTCAATTAAAAATGTATATTAAATGAGACCTATGACAAAACAAAATGTCATATATTAAGGACCGAAATGAATATATGATGTACTTGTTTTATGTCAACGAGATTATAGAAACCGAAACGAAACAAGGTAGCATTCTAGAAAACTCAGGAGCCAAAAAAAAGGGTGAGAATATCTAAGTTTAAAAAATTACTATGACAACATGACAACCAAGTAGAGAGCTTGGAAAGTTGAATGAATGAACTCCCATTTCCAATTCAACGTTAAATTCATCTCATTGTCAGTGTGCCCAACTGAAAGGTGGATTCCCAAGTCCAAATACTTAAAAGCTTGATCCCATGGATTCCCAGATGGGCATGATGATGGATTTATCTCTGCATCATCGAAATCTGCTAATTAATAAGCCGGTCTGTTCCTTCCTTGTTGGATTATTAGTATACTTTACTGTAGTACGTATACTTATGATGGATATTACTCAACGCCAATTTTTAAGAATCCGACACTAATCGTGTTGTACGATTTATTACTATTCATTCATGGGATCAAAACCAAGATGATAATTTGTAAAATGTTTCATATATTCTTCATTCCAATTCTTATAAAATATACTCCCTCTGTCCCAAAATTATTGTTCAGTTTGAGATTTCATTTTTAATACAATTTGAACTAAAAATGAAAGTCCAAACTGAACAATAATTATGGGACGGAGGGAGTAAATGATTGGAGGAATTTAACAATAATATAACCAATAGAAACTGAAGTGGACAAGATACAAATCCGGATAGGTATTTGGTGTTGAAGCTCTTTTGGCTGTGCCAAAAGAATAGGACACAAATGGGAGTAATTGTCATGACATGGCTTTTGTGGTATTTGGATAAGAAGAAACCCGGATCCCACTCTCTTATAAAAACCATCAACTTTGACCACAGGAAACCTTTTTCTTATATTTCCCTCGCAAATCTACACCGTCCCTCACTTACCACGTGTCTCCCTCTCCACAAATCAACGTACCAGATTCAAACTTGAGACACAGACAAGAACCTTCATCTTTATCCTAGTGTCAAATTGCCATTATTTTAGTGCAATTATTGGTAACACTCTCGGCTAGAAAAAAAAGTACTACAAAGAAGTGTCCATTCATATGAAAGTGATCAAATATCTAATTCTTTTGTCTGAATTGAATAATCCTTAAATAAAACAACACTTTTGATTGATACAAAGTGGGAGGTTAGAGTGAGAGAAGAAAAGGGCAGGGTTGTGTTTTTGTTTTTGTTATAACTGTGGAGGTGGTAGAGAGAAAAGAATCAAAAAAAAAGAAGATGATGATCGAAGAAAGTGGTAGTCCAACACCAAGAAGCCCAGAAGCTAAGGTGGGTATGCAAGTGGAAGATTTGTGGGATGTTCAGGAACCTCAGCTTTCTCCTACTGAGAAGCTTAATGCCTGTTTTGAGAGCATCCCTGTTTCTGATTTTCCTCATGCTCCTTCTGATGATGGTGAGAGTTTTTTTGAGTCTGATCATAAATTATTAAGCTAGGATTGAATTATGTTGATTGCAAAAAGGGAATGATTTGGTTATGATGGGTATGTGATTCATCAAGTAGTGCAAAGTTGTGGAATATCAGATTCGGTTCCTGATATGGAGGTTTAATAATTAGCTGATGATCTGGATTCAGAACACTTTATTTTTGTCTGCTTACAGCATGATTTCTGATCAGATGTCGATTTTAGCTTCTGCTTTGTCTTTTTGCCTTTACGGGCTGCCTGGATCCTCTGTTTTATCAATTGAACATTTTCTGATTATATTAGAAGATGCAAAAACTAATTATATTGGTTATCCTCGAAGATGTTTGAAAACTTTCAGATTGTACTTTTTAATAAGAATGGAACTTGATTTATGATATTTGACTGTGCTATTCTGAAAACTCGGAAGGGACAGAATATTTTTAGTCTCTTTTGTTTCTATAGCTCTTCATTGGAAAAACTGGGAGTTGGTGCTACAAAAAATGGAGAAGAAGAGGCAAAATGAATGAACAAAAAATTTTGATGTCACAGAAAAATGAAATACCGATTCCTTTATCCTTATTTGTCATGCTGCTCGTACAACAATCGGGAAGAATAGAGGGGCAAGTGTAGGGGATTGTAAATTTTTCCGTCTTTGCATGTAATTTTAAATTTTTTTCCCAGTATCTGGCAGTTATTCTCTAGATAGCCTAAAAATCTTATGTGTTTCTATACAAGTTACTCTATGCTATCATATTCATGTGGAGTCCCAGCATCTGGTGCAGCTTATTTCAGCCTATCTAAAATCTTGTTTGCTCTTTTAGTGATTGAGATAAAGTCAGATTCAAGTTTGGCTGAAGTGGTCAAGTTACTAGCTGTACATAAAGTCTTGAGTGCACCTGTTGTGGATGTCCAAGCTCCGGAAGATGCGAGTTGGATTGATAGATATCTTGGCATTGTGGAATTTGCGGGGATCGTTGTATGGATTCTACATCAGGTTTGTGATTCCTTATACAAGTGATTAAGTGCAGTTTTAATGGTTACCAAGTACCAACTATTGTTGTAAGTGTTACAATGTATATTTCAATAGATGTATTTAAGGAATCTGATCAGGTTGCTAATAGCTGCTGCTCATAGAAATTGTCCTAATATCTTTAAGATGTTCTTTGGTTCTTTTAGTACTACTATCTTCTTGAGACAGATTCAACATGATCAAATTTCAGTAGTTTTGGGTTTGAGGAATATATAAAGGTGACCTATTTTAGTTACACATACTTTAGTTAGAAAAAAATGCAGTAAGTAGTGGTCCTTGTAACCATTAAGACTTTCAGAACTCATTATTTCAAAGCCTCAAAATGTTTGTAAAACATCATAATTAGATTAGTCCTTAGGTCTGGGAATATAGTATTTGAGGAACGTGGAAGAACCCATTTTTGTCTACATGAATTTTTCGGAAATATTCCTGTACATTGTGTTCTTTTCTGTGTAAGCAGAATCTTAAGCCATGGTCCATACTCCTTTTTGCAGTCAGAAAAGATGGAGGGAGATTGTGCATTCAATACTGAACTAATGCTTGGGTCTGAGGATGGATTAGGCCGTGCTGTTGCTGCAGCAGCAAGTGGAATGTCGTCCCCAAGATACAGAAGTTTGCACCCTGAATCTCCCACTGCAACTTCTGGAAACTTTTTTGAGACGTTAACTTCTTCTGATTTTTACAAGAACACTAAGGTGGATTTCCTCTTTTTATTAAAATCTTTTGATGCAATTGCAAATATGCCGCTCTTCACAGCTTTGGTTAGTCAAACAGGTGTTAGTAACTGTGTATTTTCAGGTTGGAGACATATCTGGATCATTCCGCTGGGCTCCATTTCTGGCATTGCAAAAGTCCAACTCTTTCTTGACCATGCTCTTGTTGCTCTCCAAGTACAGAATGAAGAGTATTCCAGTGGTCGACTTGGGTGAGAGAAAGATTGATAACATTATAACGCAATCAGCTGTTATTCACATGCTTGAGGAATGTGCTGGCCTTCATTGGTTTGAGAGCTGGGGTTCAAAAAATCTATCAGAGCTGGGTCTTCCACTAATGAAGCCCAGTCACATTATCAAGGTACTCAACTTTGTTATATTATCTCTTTGAGTGTGGTAACAGTAAGTCATTCATCTTTGAGTTCCCTAAGTTGGTTTGTTATGTCCTCCAAATTCTGCAGTGAACAAATGCCATATCAGTCTTAAAGTTATATGCTTCATTTTACCGTCCTTCATTAATTCTTCCCTTGCAATATCCTTCCATCTGAACCCCATAAAGTTGAAAAATGGAAAAGCTGGGGGAATGGAACCTAGGGACTAGGGAGTGTAGAGTTGATTTTGTGTCGTGGCCGAGGTTAGGTTCAGTTTCATTGTGGAGCTTTCCTGTTCTATTTTTGTTTTTCTTGACACCTCACGATTCATTTTAACCAGTGGACGGTTGGTATATGTATCCCTGAAATTCTCTTCATCGTCAAGTTTGTACTAATTTTTGTCAGCATTATGCCAAACTTGTATTCTTCAGACTATAAAACTCTCATTTCCTATCATTCAAATGTCGATATACCTAAAACGCCTTGAAGTGTTTAATGGATGAAGAATTTGTCTGGCATATTCTTACATACATCTAGAATCGACTACTGAGGTCACAGAGTTCAATAAAACCTTTTATGGTCATAGGAGTGTGTTAACATATTGTATCTTGTAATTTATTTTTTGGTGTTATTAAACCATTGAATGGTTTCTTCTGTAAACTTTTTAAAAAATGCAAACTTGCTAATATTAGATTTACTCAGTTCTGGACTATGGAGTAATGGGTTAAAGGCTAATAACACGGCGCTCGTTGAGCATGTACTGTGAGATCATGGCAAGATGAATTGTTGTATTCTAGATAATCTAATTTCTGTACTGTTCAATTCAAGTGAGTTTCCAGCTTTCTATCAAATACTTAATCCTTTAGGCCAAACCTTGTCTGTTTATCTTACGGTTATATTTTTATCTTCCCATTTTTAGGTCTATGAAGATGAACCAGTTCTACAAGCCTTTAAACTTATGAGACAAAAAGGAGTTGGTGGGGTACCTGTGGTTGCAAGTGGTGGAAAAAAGGCTATTGGTAACATAAGTATCAGAGATATCCAGTTTCTTCTACTTGCTCCAGAAATATACAAGGAGTTCAGGTTTGTCAGCATCATTTAGCATTTTCCTCTAGACCCGAGTTGTTCAGTCATTTTGCTGAAAGTTACATGTTGCAAAGTGAAAAAGAAATGTTGGAAGATTTGTTTTATAGTGATAACACCATGCATACAAACATATAGAATGTGTGGGAACTACTTGACTCTAAAATGACTAAAATATATACTGAGCATTCTACAGGGTGCTTAAAGGACTGAAAAATCTGTTCTTTGTATGTAGAAAGGTCTATATGAATATTGAGGGTTCACTTCCATCCTGAACTTTAAAATCAATTGGTTTGTTTCTCAACAAGAGAATTAACATAGGATTTTTCAGGGATCTTATTGCATTTGTATACTTACTTTGCGTGTTTCAATTTGTGAAGAGCTTTAGCATACAAGTTTTTCCCTCTTTGAAGTCATATAAAGTAAATTCGTCATTTTTGTGAAACGATAATTTATTCGTGCTAATGTACATTCCATTGCAGATCTATCACGGCAAAAAATTTCTTAACAGCAGTTAAAAGCTATCTGGAGGAGCATCAAAAGGATTCCCCACTCTTGAGGGCCATGGTAACATGCCGAAGGGACAATAGCCTCAAGGATGTTATTAGCAAGCTTGATTCCATGAAGGTCCATCGAATTTATGTAGTAGATGATCAGGGAAATTTAGAAGGGGTAGTCACTTTAAGAGACATCATTTCGAAGCTGGTTCATGAGCCCCGAGGTTACTTTGGCGACTTCTTTGATGGTGTCTTGCCTCTGCCTGAGAACAGCAGGGTCTAGCATAGGCCGTTAATCTTCTCCTTCAAAGGATAGTTTCCAACTTCCAAGTCTAACATCTTGCTTTTTGGCGTTTTGATAGTGTCCTGTTTCTGTTAAACAAACGCTTCTCAATATGGTAGTCCTTCGCAGAGATGTCTCATGTAGGTAGTTACAAAACCATTTTCCATTTTCGGAGTGTTTGTATAGATGATTCCCAGAGAACAATCTTCTCATAATAAATCTGAGGTTTTTGCTCGAAATTTACTATCACCCTTAATTTCTGTTAAAATTCCGTTTTTTCATTTTTCGTATGCTAGTTTTTCAATCAACACAATTCAAAAAGCTAGCAATCTTTAGTGGTAACCCCACGTAGAAATCGAAAAAGAGGAGAAGAAAATCAACAATGTCGACAAGGAAGAGCGGAGCAGGTTTTCGCAATTTCAGGGGCCCAGAGTTTAGATCAAGAAAAAACACAAGTAAAAAAAAAAGGAGGAGATACTCCTTTTGTATTAACATTTGCTCCAAATCCAAATGCCATTGGCATATCTATAACCGGGTTACAATATCAATAGAAGAAAGGAAATGGGAAATCCAGCTTGTATGTATGTGTTCAAAGCCATGCTGGCTATTGTCGCGTGATTCGTAAAACTAGACAACAGCACCCAAAAAATATGGTGTAGCAGGCAGATTTATACAACTCTCTTTTTGTGTGTAGATCTACAGAACACCGATGCACCGCCGAGGCAGCCCACTCAGCTCAAGTTCGTCTTGGTCAAAATCTCTGAGGGCTAAACAAATTTACGTCGTGGTTGTTTAGTTGAAACCACTAGTTCGTGGCTCTCCTCAGAAATGCTAGTACACCTAAACCGGCTACAAGTGCAGCTCCAGCAGCCACAGCACTGTATGCTGATGCCCAGGCATCTGCATGAGAATAATCCATGGAAGTCGAACCAGATACTCTCCTACGACCAGGTGTTCCCGAATAATCTAAGTGTAATCTCAGCCCCTGTCAAAGTCAACAAATTTTCTATTTTTAGATCTTTTAACAATGGGATGAAGGGGACACAAAGAATGCAGATGAACATAAGATGCAAGATATGTTAACAGTGATGAGATATTTCAAGTCACATCCCCTGAAAAGAAATAATTTGATTAAGAATTCACAAACCTTCCAACCAGCAGATCTTGCATGGTCAACAGCCGCTACAAGATCACCATCTGAAGCAAGCACAACTTTGTCATGGTCTTCATCTTCATACTGCAGCATATTTTTACCATTAGCATAAAAATGCCCGTCAAACATATTAAACTCTCGAGGGAATAGAGAAAACAAGATTTTCCTAATACATATGGTCTTGCATACCAAAATCTGAGGAAGATCATTCCGGTCGATGTCATCACCAACTCTCTGAAGAATAGCAGTTATAACATCAGTCAAACTACGGGTATCTGCAGTGGAACCAATACCAAAATGTCAGATTATTCTAAGGATTATGCATCATAACATAAATGAAAGGGCGTGCTATGCATAACCCATGTCAAAAATATGGTTAACTCAGCAGCCAAAGTCAAACATCATTGATACTTCCCCAACTCCCACCTTAAACACCCATAAACACCGACATTAGAGAATAACTTTGATTAAGAAAAGTTTAAACTTTGATGCAAAATGGTTTATAATTAAAACAAAAAAACGCCAGCAGAGTTATCCATTAAAACATACTATGCCACTCAACTTTTATAGACATATTCTTTAGTAATTAACAACCAGATATACGCCAAACGTTGGGGTACAAGACAATAAAAAAACAATTCATATTTAAATATATCAAAGTAGGTTACTCAAATATTGCACAGGTAGCACCTAGCTAGGAGTAAATTTCATCGAGTTGATATGGGGACCAAACATGTCCTTCAAAGTTAGACAAAAATAATTGAATCTGTGCTCCATTAAAAAATCAGAACCATACCACAATTGAACCTATGCATTCTTCCCTTCCTGTCCTGAAGTTTGAAAGCAAATGTGTTGGGCATGCTTGATGAAGGATAGGGAAGAGTTCTTCCTGTGTCTGCCCCTTCAGAAGGCAGCTTCAAGGAACCCTCACTAAAATTTGAAAACAAACATATAAGATCAAAGCCTCGGAAAATTTTTAATATTCAAAAAAAAAAAAAAAGAAAACAAAACCCAGCAACCTTCGTGTTTCTTCGTCATCATCAGGAGTAAGTGCCATAGCGGAATCCCAAAACTTTTGCATCATCGTGTTTGCAGCCTCGGTGCTGACTCCAGCAGTGTTTCCAACCTAGTTAACATGCAAAAGGTTACAAATAATCAATCACAAGAATCTAGACTTCATTTAAAATATAGATGTGGTAAAAGAAAACCAACTTCAACATATTATATCTGCTCCGATACAAGTTGCTAATCACCCAGCAAAAACAAGTTTTGGGTCCATAAAAATCAGATTTTAGAGTTTACAATACAAACTTAATAAAAAGAAAGAATTACAAAGACGCGGACGTTGAACTTAATAATGTTTATTGCTGAGAATAAGGAACCCATGCAGCAGGAAGAACTGCTGCCATGTGGCCAGAGTTCCAGGGTTAAGCACATCGAAACAGCCTCTCACAGATATACAAGGGAAAACTGTGTACTTTAGGCCTTCATGGACTGACCAATGCCCTCCACCACCCCCTCACCCCCCCCCGGCCCCAGGAACCCCACACATGTGAAAGGCTGTTCTATACTCTTATTCAACAGGTCAATAAATGAGAGACTTACTGTGGCTACAGCAGCATGAGTAATGTGAAGCACGTCCACAACAGAAACTACAATACCATCTGCGTCAAAAAAAAAAAAAAAAGGATCAGTTTCTAAAGACAAACTACAAAAAACTGTCTGATGTTTACTCCGGATACTAGTTCATAGTTATAATCCAACAGCGATTGATCAATTTTAGTCCTCTCAGAAAGATTACGTACCTCTATCAACAACGGGAAGGTGTAAAAATTTTCCATCATGCATCGTGTGCAAAGCATCAACTATCGGTGTATCCACTGTAGCACATTCTGGATTTGGAGTCATAACCTATATCAAAATGTTCAAGGTAAGTCTAACAAACAGAAAACATATCTTATCATGTAAGTCTTATCATGAAAATGCAATACCAAAAGATGAAAGAAAAAGTATGATTGCACTAAAAGCTAAACAGAATTATTCATTCGAAGGGGAAACAAAAATCGAATAGACAAAAACACAGAGATACCTTTTCCACCAGAGTAGAATCAGCAGGAAGATCTTGTGCTATGACCCGCATCAAGATGTCTTTAGAACTGAAAATTTGAAGAAACAAATTGTTACAATATTTCAGGAATTACCAATAATATAACGCAGAAAAGCCATGGCTGGGTCTCAACTTTTCGATGACTCTGAATGAAAATAAGTGTGTGAAAAGAGAACCTACGTGAGAATTCCCCTTGGTTTGTTATCAACGGTTGCTATTGCACAGCTTGATCGGTATTCAAGCATCTTCTTTGTTACTACCAAGACAGTATCACTTGGTTCAACTGTGACAATCCTGGAGAAGCACAATAAAAGTCATATGATGAGAGGCTTACTCATATTAAGATATGATTAATTTACAACAATAACATCTAAACAAAATCATAACACAAAGGTAAAGAGTATTACCTACTTTGAATTCTCAGAAATGATTGTCGACAAGGAAGGCCGAAACATCCGCTCTCGAAGTGTTTCAACAAATGTATTAGGACCTATAATTCCACCCAAAAATTTACGGCTGTGAATAAATATTGCATTGAGATACATTTGCAATACTTAAAATACAAAGTCCAGAAAATTTGACCCCATGAGCTAATGGCTGGATTGTCAAACACAATACAGGCCAGAAGCAAGGGGGAGCACAAGAATCAAAGACAAAACCTTTACAGTTTAAACCTTTTACCCCATGAGCTACTAACCAGAAACAGATGTACCCCAATGCTTTTCAACACCTTCAACAGCAGCTGCTATTGCCTTTCCCTTCTCAGCAGCCCTTTCCATCCGAGCAATTGCATCATATAAACATTTGGCTATGTCAAGTAAAGCAATGACTTCTCCGTTGTCAACAACAGGCAGGTGTCTAAATTTTCCTGTTCCAGAAAACAAGAGACAGAAAGCTCAAGAAATTAATAAAATGGGAACCAAACAGAGAGCCATTGGATCTGGAAATGTAAAGACCTTGGACCATCTTCTGCAAAGCTTCTACAGCAAGTGTGTCTGATAGCACAAACACAGGATTCCTAGTCATAACTTTTGAAACTGGTGTCTCCTCCAGATTAAGCTCACGGGCAATAACTCTTGTAGCTATGTCCTAAATGAAACCAATAAATGACTTAAAATCAACCATAAAGAAAGACATAGGCAAAGATCCACACAGCAAGACAGAATGTCCAAAATTGGAAATAAAAACTTCACCACACAAATCACGCAACTAAATACAAACCTTATCGGTAAGGATTCCACACAGCAAGGCATTTGAGTCGGTAAGCAGTAATGCATCAACTCGACGAGCAGCCATTCGGCGGCAAGCATCATATATACTTGTAGTTTCTGGTACTGTCAGAGCCTTTGACAACCTCAATCTCTTTACTGTTCGCTCGCCAGTTAGCCCCCTGACCATACATGGGTTAGAATAATTTTCTAAAACAAGCATTGCTACAATGAGAAAATCAGGTTATTCTCCTGCAAAAGCCCCTATGCGTAAAGCTCTTCAGAAGAATTATAGGAGAAAGTGAGGGATACAATGATTGAAATTTTAAACATTTAGCCTACGAATTAACATGGCCAGGGAAAAATAAGCAGAACATTTAAGCAAAGACTTGAGAAACAAGAGCAAAGTCATCAAATCAATAGTGCAGCGTTTGTTTCTCTACGGAGAAAACTGAATACAACATCTGTAATCTGATTTTGGAACATGATTGTATCAAACGTTGAGATTCTAGCTTGTCCTGAAAAGTCCAAATAGCTGAGAGCTAAAACATGAATCACCAAAAATTTAAGTTAATGTAGAACCTACATTAGCTACCATCTCATAGTTCAAGCATTGCCAATAAGGTGAAAGAAGCATAAGCTTCACACAAATTTAAGTTCCGTGATCAAGCAAGCTTTAGAAGTTTGAGCAATTCTAGCAGTCACATTTCGTATCCAACCATGGGGGAATTATTTCCCAATATCTATTTTTCAGTTTCCTATATTTTCAAAGTAACACCTCCGAATCACCACCGCCCAAGTCACAATGCCACAAGAAAAGGGTCACAACAGAAGCAATTACAATCAATTAATTTCTCATGATAACACGTTCCTGTTACAACACTTCTCCACCCAAATACAAGAGGGGGGGGAAAAAAGACCATTATAGAATTAAAGGGGAAAAAAAGGGTTTAATAAACGAACATGGAACGAGAAGATGAAAGGGATTTCCTGTGAGATGATTCGAGGCCTCCATTATCCAAACCCCCGGATTTCTTCTTAGCCTGCTGAGATGATGAGCTCAACGAAAAGCTTCTCCTCGATGATGACCCTCCTCCTTGGCTATTCGTCATTTATTTCAACCTCTATCAAACCCTAAAAAATCATCATTTCACAATTAATTACGTAATACCAGGAACAGAGAAACAATAATAATCAAATGAATAAATTACAATTTCTAAAAACCGGAAGAAACATACCTGTTTGACCCGATAGTTTCTGCACCAAATCAAGATATTGAAGAACGACGGTGGATCCCCCGGGGAAACTAAAATCTTCGTTTCTAAAGAATTTTCAAATGAATTTTCCGGGGAAAATACACCGATGGATGAAGAAGGAAGGGGCAAGACGGGGAAAAATGGTTACGAGCCAAGAAGGAATGAGTCCCTTCTTATTTTTTCCCGTTCGTTTTTCATTTTCCATTTTTTCCTTTTTTTAAGGTTTTCGAATCAATGCGCGCGTGTGAATAACGTTAGACAGAGAAATCATTCGAAAGATTTTTGAGTGTGGGAATATTGTCCAATGAGGTTACGCCAAGGATGAATTCTCCGAATTGTTTCAACCGTGATCGCTGCCAAGGATGAATTCTATGGTCTCCTGCCACTTTTGCTTAAGGGGATAATGATAATTTTAAAAATAAAAATTTATTTTTTGGAGACTAATATAAAACCAAAAAAAGAATATCTAAAATTACTAATCTATGAAAACACGTGAAAATAATAAAGGGGAAAATAATTTCGTTTAGATCGCCTTCATAGCAATTTCTTAATACTCCTTATTATATATCATTTTGATTTGTTCTAGGTTTCATTTAGTGTATTTTTTTAATTGAAAAATAAAATCTTAAACATATTTTATAATAATCAAAAATACGAAATAAAACCTGGAACAAATTGAAATGTCTTAAAATAAGGACCGAAGGAAGTAGTTTATAGCAATTGTGTGACAACATTGTGTCTCTCTTGAAGTCCATTTTAAACAAGCTTTACCATGTGGTTTCGCACGATTAAGGGTGTGTTCCTCACATGTGTTAACTAAGGTATAATTTTCAAAAAAAAAATATTTTAATAATTAAGTTTTTTGCAATGGAATGGGTCAAAAAAAAACATTTTCCATAATTTGACTCACAATATAAAATTGGTCTGTGGACTCTTATGATTAAAATAATTCCTTATAAACTATTTGAACTTCTGTCAGAAATAGCCCATCTCTGACGTCGAGCCACTACCGAAACACCATCGGTCGATGATCGAATGACAATATCACGGCACACTGGTCGGAAACTGATCGAAAAATCACTGATCAGAGGTAATCCAATGGTGGTTCAACAACGTTTTGGTGGTAGCTCAACAGTTGTCAAAAGTTGGTCGTGAACTTGAACTCCGTGTGCACTTCATTCGAGGTGATCGAATTCTCTTGGATGGATAGGAAAATTCAAGAAAATTTAAATTTTGAATTTACAAGCTCAAAAACATTACAGAATGCAACGCTCCAGCTAAATGGTTTGTCCTGTAACTATTTGGGTGTTTGTCATCTCTATACTCAAAATGGTTAGTCCAAATTACTAATAGATCACCATGTTGAAGCTTATTATTATTGGTCTCCATCATCTCCGATGTTGCCTTTTCACCAACAAGCTTTCTTGGGCATCACACTCGACCTCTTTGGATCCTTACGTCCTCGCAAGGCCTAAGGCACAGTACACATCACACACAGTTGGCTCCAGACTTCCCCACATTAGATGAATTTCACTTGTCTTAAATCTTGCGGGGTCAGTGGTGTCTCCGCACTTGTCTTCTATTTGTGTGCTCAGAGGTGGATTCGCACCTAGACTAAGTCACCTCTTATATCCATTTTAACGACCCAACTGGATAGTCTGTCCCAGTAACTATTTAAGCGTTCATCATCGACATCCAAAATAAATAACCTAAGTTAATAGTAAATCATCAGGTTGAAACTTATAGTCTCCATCGTTACTCATCTCCTATGTAGGACTCCACCAACTAGCTTGAACAACTAGCTTTCTTAGGGCATCACATGAAACACATGGGTCAACAGACATGAGGAGCATACCTGATGAAAAAATTGAACGAAAATAAAATAGAAGACTACCATTTGATGGCTAAATGCAACATTGAAATTTATAATTTGGGCAAACTAAAATTTACCCGAGTTTTGCCCGTTCCTACCATCACCCCCGCCCCCTCCCCTGAGTTTTAGACTACTACCGTATATCCCCGTGAGGTGCCGTCAACCAACAAAACAAACTCTAGTGTGCAAAGAACTGATGATGCAATAAAAAAAGTTGTTTGAATTGACAAGATTACCCTCATGAAGTTGAACTTTTTCTTTTGTTTGTTATTTTTTTTTCACTTTCAACTATACAACAACAGCATACCCATTATATTCCCAACTCGATTGGGGTGGGAAGGGGGGAAGGTCAAGATATGCACAATCTTACTCCTATATTTCAATCAAAGAGGTTGTTTAAGTAGTGCGACCCAAGATGCATTGGTACATTGATTTATTGCTTTCTGGCAATTTCACCAAAACTAATAAGCATCGGAATTTAAATGAGCCATTTTGATATAATCCATTTATAGAAGCCCATGGGAATTCACCTTAAAACCAATTGGCAATGAGGGGAGTAGCCCATGTAGCTTATATATTGATACAAAATCTCTCATGACCCGATATGGGACAGACATAACTTGGAATTTCATCACCATTGCTAACACAAACTGAAAGAATTTCAATTATACCATTCTATAATTTTTTTTTTTTAAGGAAACAAGCTCCTCCTCCACCTTATTGAAAATCTGCATCGATAGTAACCCTCAATCCTATATCTCAGTACGTGCCCAGGTTCATTTTGGTCATGTAATTTTCATCTGTCAGACTTTAGCAAATCTCCAAACTAAACGTGATTTTCTGCCCTTTTCATGTACTCACATCGTAAGTTTTAAGGGAAAATGAACAATTATATATGAAACTGGGAACATAATTGCTTGAAATCAATAAGATATCCTAGAATATCATTCATTTACATTTGCATAAAGAATGCGAAATAGAAACATAAAACCATATGCAGTACATCCACATAAATTTAACTTGAAACTAGCCAAAACAATGAGTGCAATTTAGAGACATCTCATGAACAAAAGTGAGTACGTATAAATAGTTCTTCTCAAACCCTAAGATGAGACTTGACATTGTTTCTCAAGTCTTTGCATCCCTAACTCTGTTTATTAATCCTTCGCTCTGCCTTTCTTAGTTGTCATGCTCTTCAATTTATAACATGTACCTGCTTCCTTTTAAAACTAATACAAGCATAGTAAAAAAAAAAACTCATAACCCTGGACACTTATTAAATTAATGGCTTCCTCAGTCTAACTCCTAAATCCAACTATCAATACACTCCACTTTTCAAGCCCCTTTTTTGTGTCGAGGAATGCCAAAAGAAACCATTATACTAGCCAAATTTTCCCCCTAGCCAAATCATTACCATGCAATTCACATTTACCTCCTTGATTAAGACAGTGACAACATTGCTTGATTGGTTTAGGAACGTGTCCAAAATAACATACAAATGAAAGTCCAAGGTAAAAAGTAACATACATCCTAGCAACATTGCTTGTTTATTCCCTAAACCCTGAAAATAACCTTACTCCACAAAAATAAATCATTAAACCTCTAAACCAATGATCATCAATAATGCAAAGTGAATTTATGTAACAAAAGAAGAAAAAATATAACAAATTTTCAAATTTTGTTGAGAAAAAGATAAATGTTATATCAATTAACAAGCAACTCAATTCAGAGACATCAATTTTGTGTATTCTTACTTTTCCAAATACTGCACAACATAACAACAATAGCATTCAAAGAATCCCATATCAATTTTTTAATTAAAAAAAAAACAATTATTATCAACCAATGTTGAATATGACATACCCAGTTAGAATGGTCGACAGTGACATCCATTATCCATACACATGCTATCAAAGGAAAGAATTTTATTTCACTCAGTTTCGGGACTCGACAATAAGGTTTTCTTCGTTGGCCTTATTCCCTAATCGAAATTCTCATGCGATCAAAAATTGGGAAATGTTGGGATCTTCGGGGTAGACGGTCAATAATTAGAAATTGATCCGTCGATGATGCCTAGTGAGAGTCAACGATACCAAGTGGCAACTGAAGATCAATCACGTGCGAAAAGAACATATGAATAAAGGACTTGATTGTAGATTTTACAAATTTCTCTTGCTTAATCCACAAAAGAAGACGTCATGGCATTTTAATAATCTAATCAGTGATGAACTTTAAGGCGCAAACAAAACATTGAGATTTAAGGCTTTGATGACTTAGTATTAAGATGGTTGTCGTTTAGTATTAATGTATCTAATTATACCCAATATATTAATATGGTTTCATATTTTCATTAAGTCTCATTTGACAATGTAGAATAGAAAATTAAAGTACCTTATATGATTTAGTAACTTTCTAGTGTCAATTGGTTGATAAAAATGTTAGATGTGAATTAGGATTTTAGTTTTCGATCACAAGTCAGAAAAGGACAAATAGACCTTTATGTATAGCATACGTTTTTTTGTAATTTGTTTCTAATGAGAAGCAGAAGAAACCCAAAAACCCAAAATAAAAAATAATCTAATCACGACTACTACTGTTAGCATATGTGAATCCTTCCTCAAAGAAAAAAAAATCTTATCCGGCATATTATAATCCTAAAAGAACAGGAAAATTTTAGTCATTAATGAAATCATTACATTTTAATTCAGTGTTATCTTTAAACCAACGATAAGGTCTTTTTAATTTAAAAAATGAGATATAAGAGATGTAATTCTCTTTTGTTTTAGATTTGAGATAGGTTTTGAAAATTATTATGGACTAAAATTTAAGAAATTTTAGAGATAATTTTAATTAAAATAATATTCTCTTTGTCCTAAAAGACAGTTCACATTGGATTTGAAATTTGTACTAGTTTTAGTAGTCAATGATCCTGCAAAAATTAAAGTGTAGCTAGCATTTCAATACAACAACCGACAATTGAATAAAGTAGCAAAAATAACCTCTTAATAACGCATCATAAACAAATTAATATTTTAACTACAGTCTTGACCGAGCCGTCGTCACACTAGTCATATAAAATTACCCACTTAACACTAGTACAATAGCACAATAGTAAGCAGGATCGTCACACAAGGAAGGAAAACTAAATACCGGTTATAAATCACTTCTTACTATTATTTAGACTAATGATGATCTCAGATTTGTAAACCTTAAAACTAACAATTGGATGTAAAACCATCGAACCAAACACCCCATAAGTGTAGGCAATATTATGTAGAAAGGGTAAAATATGATCCTCTAGCTTATGTTTGGTAAAATACGAACCCTAATACATAAATGTGGTTATGGTCCCCAGATGAATGGGAATTTCAATTTGACTCCCCATTTTCTAGTATCAAAGGTTTAAAAGAATCATATGGAAGATCAAACATGTGATCGTAATTCTTCTACTACAGATTTATATGTGCTTCCTCTTTAAAAAAGGCCTTAATTAGATATGAAGGTGTATTGTGTTTGAAT